TTTTTTCATTGTATTTATATATGAATTTTAATGTGTACATAATATATGTATATATATCAAAGAATATATAGACAAATAAATACATTTCAAAACAATAATTAACTTTTCATTCACTTTCCTTCCGATTTTGGAGGGATTGATTTTGGTGAGTTGAAAGGAAAGTTCATTCATCCACTTTTCCATTCATCTTATATTCATCCTTATCAAATATAATGTTTTATCTATCCCTCTAACTTTTCATCCTTCTAATTTTTTATCATTCTATTTTTTCATAATACCAAATGGAACATAATTAATTTGAGAACCTAATTCAATACAACTATCGACTTGAAATTGAGTTCCACATAACATTAGAACTCACAATTAATTCAATGGGTATATTGAATTAGGTTTGCAAATTTAATAGCGTTGCCCTATTTTTAGTGGTCAAGCTATGCTTTTTAAAAGTAAACTTACAGCTCATTAATGATCAATCATAAGATATTGTGATCAATGATAAATAACCCAAATTAATTATAAACTTACTAGATATTTAAAAGATATAACTATATTTTTAAATTTCACAATTGACTATAAAATGTTGTGATCAATAATGCTATTTGGAGTTATAACTTACAAACTCAAAAAATAAAAAAATTAATTTAATCCCAAGAGATTATAACTTTTTGATTCGGTATCTTCTTTAACATCGTTCTTCCTCTATGAATGCAAGTTTTCATATATAATATGATCATAAAGGGTACGAGTCTTCTACTTGTTCTTGAGCCTCACATTACCCTATTTCAACTCTCTCTCTTTCTCTTTCTCTAACATGTCTCTTTTCGAATACAAAGCAAATCAGACTGGAGAAGTGCCCTTGGAAGAGGAAAAACTGAGAAAATTTTTCGAAAAGTACGACAAGAATGGCGATCGTAAACTGAGCAAAGAAAAGTTGAACGAAGCCTTTAACTACCCAGGGGCATATATTCCAAGATGGAAAGCTTGGCGTGATCTCCAAGTTGCAGACACTAACGGCGATGGATTCATCGCTCAGGATGAGATGAATAAGCTTGTCACATATGCCCTCTAAGGATTAATCGATTAAAACTCTAAGGACTTGATTGTTACAATTAAAATTTCAAGTAACAAATAAAAATTAGGCGCATTCTTTAAGGGGTAAATTGTAATTTACCCATAAATTAAGCGCGACTCATTACATATAACTAAATCTCCCACCAATGTATAATTGATGATCTAGTACTAAAAAACTATTAAAAATAAAAACATAAAGTCAAGAATATTAGGGCCTGTTTGGTTTGCGTTTTAAAAATTAATATCCGAAAATAGTTTTTGAGAAGAGTTTTAAGAAAGTGGTTTTGATATTTTTGAAATAAAAAACTTGTTTGATTAGATAATTTTTAAAAATAATTTTACAACACATAAAATAGTAAAATTATATATATATATATATATATTATATATATGTATATATTTTTACGTATTCATATATACATATATTATTTTGATATCAGAGTCATTTGACGGCCTAGATAGTTACCCATGCAGTTATATTTGAATTATCTTACTTGTGTTAAATCTTTTCTATTTCAATTTAGTAAATCATTGTTTAGTTTAGTCTACCCTTGTCACCTAGCCTTTGTCAGCTCAAGAGAGGGAGTCTCATTCTTGTCCCGTTTGTAAGTCCTCGAGTGGAGGCAGTTTAGGGATCCAGAGACATGTCATGAGAGCATGTATGTTAGGGGGTATGCACAATGGAGTCAAACTTAAACATTAATTTACATAATTGAAAATTTAGATTTAATAATGAGTAGATTATTCAGATCTAACTCTATGGCTAGCTCATCTAGTTCTTCATCTAGTACTATACATAATATATTAAATGAGGAAGAAGAAGAATATCATGAGTCGCAAGTAGACTGGAGTGGATGGAATATCCCAAAGGTATCCCATCGTAACATCTACAAGACGAGTTGGATTCCAAAAGCATTCAACTCTGAACTTCAAGTAAAAACAATTGAACAAGTTTATGCTCTCAGCAAAGAGGAAGAAACTTGTCAGTTAATTAGTAAAGAAGCCCTAAAAAAACATAGGGAAAAAAGTTTTAATTTTATCCACATTGGTGTAGTTCAGGTAGCAATTTAACCATTAATGTCACCTGGTAAAGATGCAGCAGCTCTATTAACCCTAAGAGATGCCAGATTTATAGAATATGAACCTAGCATTTTAGGAATAATGGGACTGGTCTCCATAACGGACCAGTTTATTTTAACTGCTTTCCAGACTTTACCCTCAGCCTTAGTTGTAAGAATACACCTATGGTTTTAACCTTAGGTATAAAATTGTCAGGTCAAATTACCAAACTGGTAGAAGAGACCCAATCCCTAGTACTTATCTATAGGATATACTATAAATGCATGACTACAAACCTGAATGTGCATGCACTTAAGAAGCATCCTAAAGATAAAATAGTGCTCATCCAAGCCAGTACTAGTGATTCTAACATCCAAGTCCCCAAAAGACTTGAATGGAAGAATGTTCAACTCCTAGAATCCTAGACAGTTGAAAATGAAAACTATAATAAAGAGAGTAAAAATATTTCAACTAAGCTTAAAAACATCCAACAGTTATCTGATGGATTAGTAAGAATCTCTTTTGATTCTGCAAGATCCAGTAGATCAAGCAGGTCATTTAGTAAGCCTATCCAAATTAATGAAGGTAGAAAATCTGATGTTTATTCTAGCATCTCCAGAAGAGATAAAAAATTAACAGAAAAAATAGAGAAAAAATTTAAGTTAAAAGGAATCGATAATTTCACACCACATATTAGTAGACCGTGTTACACTCCACATCAGAGTGTTCCACAAACTAGTCATAGGAATGACGAGGTAGAAGATGACTTCACCCCTTCACCTACAACTAGTGACCTCTAGAGCACTGCTCCAGTAAATTACCAGTTACTCATGATTAGGAAAGAAAATGGATTATTCTTACCTAACATGATTAAACTGAAAAAAGATTTTAATTCTGTTGAAAATGAATCTAAAAGACTTAAGTACTTTAAAAGATTCACTCATATTCAACATAAGGAGATAATGACACAATGGGTAGGATTAATGCACAAAATAGAATCAAAAATTCTATTTTTTGACTTCCTAGAAACCCATCACCCAGAAGTTAAAGTAGTAACAAAACATAAATGGAAAATCCTAGATAATTCTATAAAATCATCTAGTCATCCCCCAAAGGAAACCATATTAGTTAAACACATAGACTCGAAAATTAAAGCTTCACCTTTTAAGAAATCCACAGATGATTCTGATAAAAAGGTAATTGAACAAAATAATTTCACTAACTAAAGTCTAATAATCATAGGAAAACAGCTTGAGAAAATTGAAACTAAAATCGATGAAATCAAGCCATCCAATAAAAAATTAGAAAAACTTTTAATTCAACTACCTGAAGATAGATCCGGATTAGGTTTAAAAGATAAGCAAACAATCCAAAAGATTGAAGAACTTATCTCTAAAACAGAATCCAAATCTAGACCATCTCAAGTAACAACTATCAATCAGACTTATGATAATTCAGAAATCAGTAGCTCAAAAAACTCACCTGATTCTGAAATTGAAAAATTAGAAGAACAGTATGATAACCTCAAACTTAACAAATTAACTTTTTCAAAAGTTAATCCAACCAACATTACAAAAAATTGGTACACCAAACCCACACCACCAGATCTTTAATTTGAAGAAAAAAACATTATTAATCAGTTTTCTGTTCAATCCAATAAACTCTATGAATGGAACATAGATGGATTGAGTGAACAAGAAATTCTTAACAAAATTAGTCACCTTTATATGGTAGCCAATAGCTACGTATCAAATCTTAATCTCTCTGAACCAGAATTAGTTGATATGATTACCTCTGGATTCACAGGAGTATTAAGTAATTGGTGGACTAACTACTTTACCCAAGAATCAAGAGATGACATCAAACACTGTTGTTCTTGATGATGAAGGTCTACCAGTTTTCAATGAAAGGATTGGTAGAGCTAAATATGATAGAATTAACACACTCATCTTTACCATAATCAAACATTTTGTTGGCACACCCAGTAATATTGAAGCTCGAGTCCATGACCAGCTTAGTAACCTTAGGTGCCCAACACTTAGTGATTTTAGATGGTACAAAGACGTATTCATCTCCAGAGTCATGCTTAGGCAAGACTGTAATAAATCTTTCTAGAAAGAAAATTTTGTCAATGGCCTACCTAATCTCTTCGCCCATAAGATTAGGGAAGCACTTAGTAAGGATACAGGAATCATAGAATATGATTCACTAACCTATGAAAATCTGGTTAGTACCATCTAAAAAGAAGGTCTTAAGATGTGTATTGACATGAAAATCCAGAACCAATTAAAAAATGCAAAGAAAAAGGCTAAATATGAAATGTGTAATTTATGTGAACAATATGGTCTCCCTTCAGTAGCACCATCCCGCAGAAAAACCAAATCACATAAGCCTTATAGTCGATCTAAAACCCACTACAAACGTAGTAAAAAGACTTTTAGTAGACCTACTTACTATGCTGAATCTAGTAAAAACCCAGAAAACCTTATAAGAGTAAAACTTATAAGAAAAAATTCGGGGAAAAAGCCAAAAAAGATTCAGATATTAAATGTTATAACTGTTGTAAAAAAGGGCATAAAAGCCCAGATTGACCAGTAAAAAAACAAGTTAAAAGATTAAATTTAACCCAAGAAGATGAAGAGAAAATTCTCAGCATTTTTAGGTTAAACAATCTTCCCAATAATAAAGAAAGTTCAGATGACTCAAGCAGTTCTAAAATTCTTCAGACTACCAGTCAGCCTCTAGCAACCCCAGTGAACTCAAAGTCAAGTTAGGTTGTAAAGATAGTTGCTTCTGTAAAACTGTTAGGGTAATAACCAAACAAAATGAGGAATAACATATTCTAATAGATTTAATTAGTAAAATTGAAGACCCAGATTTAAAGGTCAAATATATCAAAAAATTAAGAAATTTGTTTGCTAAAAAAGACACAACAATCTTTTAATCAAAAACAGTTAATAAGTATTAACACTACAATGGAAAGATTTAGTAAGGAGAAAAAGAAAGAAATCACCTTACAAGATTTCCAAAGTGAAGTTAATAAAATAAAATCTGAAATAAAAGAATTAAAAGTTCAAGACAAGAAACTTGTAGAAGCTTTAACTCTTTTAACAACAGATAGTCTTGGCGACACAAAGGACTTTTATCCTGGAAAACAATCATTAGTTGAAGAACAATTTGAGACAGAATCTCAAAATAGAATAGATTTACAGGGGATACCCATAACCTCCACCTCTCTAGTGGATCATTTGGGTGTAACAAACCTGCCATCTCACGATAGATGTTCTCAGGCTAATGATGACCATAGGATCAATCTAGTTAATAAAATTAATTTCCAAAAATGACATTCTAAAATAAAAATCATTATTGATTATGATTTTGAATTAGAAACCATTGTCTTAATTGATACTGGTGCAGACGTAAACTGCATCCAGGAAGGCATTATCCCAACTAAGTATTATCAAAAAATCATTGAAAGACTTAATTCAGCAAATGGTAGCAAAATGAATGTTAAGTACAAACTACCAAATGTGCATATCTATCAAGATAATGTATGTTTTAAAACATCATTTATCTTAGTAAAAGATATGACTGATGATGTTATCTGTAGCTTACCCCTTGTATACTTATTGTATCCCTTTACAACAGATACAAACGGTGTAACCACGAAACCACTTGGTCAGATAGTAACATTCAAGTTTACAACCAAACTAGAAGCTAAAAAATTAAGACAACTTAAAAATCATTCAATTTCTAAGTATCTTAATTTAATTAATCAAAAAACTAGACAAATGAAATTTCTCAAAGAAGAAATTAATCACAAGAGAGTACAAGAACAATTAACTAATCCAATCTTAATTACAAGGATTAATCAGTTTAAAGAAAAACTTGAAGCAGTAGTATGTTCTAACCTTCCTACAGCTTTCTGGCATAGGAAGA